TCCGACAGTAGTCACACAAATAACATCGATTTTAATTACAAGTTACAGTAAACATTGACAATATGACAGGGGTATGGGTCTTTTTATACCATTGATTCAGTTGAAAATGACACTGAAGTATCATTATCTATAAAATTAATTTGAAACACCAACTGCCGATATCAAATAAATAGTTCCATCAATACATCAGTATCACTAATGCCCATGGCACTATCTCATATCACTACTGTCAATTCGAGCGACTGCAGGCTTTGAAAGAACTAAGAAAATGAAATATAAATCTGATAGCACATTTGTCTAACTGATCACGTGGATCAAAAATACCTCCTATATATTAACATGTGGACTTGTAGGCGGAAAACAATGGAAATATTTATTGTTTGAAAATTAAAGCCACATAAAGCAAAGCTGTCTTTAAAAAATTAGCTGCCAATCAAAACTAAGCGTTGATTTGCTGCAAATTGAGACAAACGTTTCCCTGATCTTTCCCTGTTACCCATTTGTTTAGGGTCCCTAAGTATGTTGTTCTGGGCCTTCCCCTGCCTCGCTTGCCCTCAATTTTGCCAGTGAGAGCTCGATGTTCAAGACCCGTAAGTCTATTTATGTGTCCCAAAAACTGCATTTGTCGTTTCCTGATTGTTTTTAACATTGAGCGTCCCACGTGGGCTTCATCAAGCACTATCTCATTCGATTTCTTTTCCTTCCACGATACTCTTAGCAGTCTCCTAAGAAACCACATTTCTGTTGCTTCCATTTTATTTTCACTGTCTTTAGTCTTTAGTGATTGTCCAGCATTCACAGCCATACATAGAAGGGTTGACCAAACATAGCATTTCAGAACTTTCATTTTGGTGTTCATTGAGGTAAAACATAAAGAAGCTAAGGGAGAAGACCACACCACAAAGCCAATCAACTACGCTCTCACTCTAACCTAAAAACACTGCAGTATGATTCAAATTGAATCTACAGTAGTAACTTCAAATCTATGAGACACAGTGCTCCAGACGGCAGTTGAAAGAAGTTCCGTTTAGTTTTAGTAAGAATTTTGGGGCACTTGCTACTCAAATAGGTCACACACGAGAGCCGAAAATTAGCAGTGTCCCTCCCAGAGCAACAGCCAACTACACACACCATGAGACAGAGGTAGTTTTTAAAAAATTTATAGTAGAGGGTTTTACGGCGCTCGCAACTGTGAGACAGAGGTAGTTTTTTTTTATTATTTATAGTAGAGGGTTTTACGGCGCTCGCAACTGTGAGACAGAGGAAGGAGGCAGAAGAAAGAACAATAACACGTACGAGACACCATGAATGAACCACACACAAGTTTTGTTCTGTTCAAAATTGAGATTCTGTCTATGACTGGGAAAGGTAACAGCTTCATTGCAGTGAAAAGGGACTAAAACACAGAGATGTGAAAACCAAACACGACCACGGGGGAAACATGACATTATATAAGAAACATCATGTATGTGTATGGTATCGGTAGTAGTACTATGCTCTGTATCAAGCTTGTCGGGGAAAACTTCGAAACATGAAAAGCAAATGCACTTGCAAAGTGACGCACGACAGAGTCTTATTTCCATTGTTTTAGTAGAGGGTTTTACAGCGCTCGCAACCGCTTAAGGTCATATGAGCGCCAAGGGGTGGATGTCAACAGAGAAGTCCTTACAGGGAATCAGATTTACTCTGCTCACCTCTCTAGCTTCAACAGTACAAAGTCTGCTTCAACTATCAAGGCACCCCGGAAATAGCGGGTCACAAAAGTGTGACAATACAAAAGAAGTAGAGGAAAAATGATGATAGTAAGGATTAGGAAAGAAAAAGTAGCAGTTCCCTGTTGCAGTTCAGGCACAGTTATAAGCGTGACATTGATGAATCAGCCCATTTACAATTACAATTCTACTGTGCATAAAAACTCGAGATGTTAAGGCCCCCCCCCCCCCCCCCCCCCTTGGGAATGGTCTAAAGACACTTTAGTCAGTGGCACCACCCCCGGGGGTACGGAGTCTTACACCGAGCAGTCGATTCAAGGTCCATAAAAAATTTCTGGACGAATCATGGGAATAAAAAAGAAAGTTCAAAATGACAAGTCAATACATCAAGATGTCAAGATATCAAGATGTCAATATATCAAGATATCAAGCAAGACAAACATACTAGTATGATACTCTGACATGGTGTGTATTATTACGATTTTTAAAAACTCCCCGAGATGCAGGTGGCAGATGCAGCTGACAGCACCAAGAGAAAGAAACACAGACAGAACCATATGTGTCATGACGTGGTGGAATCAGGCGCTCGTCAATTTTTGGGCATGTGAAGTTATTGGTATCATCTTACAACTCGTTCATTTGTCTTGCTTTCGATTTTTAAAAAAATTCCCATTCATCTTGAATAGAACTCGAGATATTTGCAATTGAAAGATGGGGTCCCCTGGTTTCAAAGGTAACATTAGCGAGAAAATGGCCGCTAAAGTATGGTGACTTCCGTAGTCTTTGGAAACAGCTAATTCAAATTTATTGTGGCTATAATCAACATTTTTTCATAAAATTCATACGTAGAAATGTTTTTAAATAAACATATACGGTGTAGCCAAAAAACAAAAATTCGAAACAAATTTCCAAAGTGGCAGCAAAAAATATATGCCGATTTCTCGGATTTCATTATTTTGACGAGCACCTGATTTCACCACAAAGCCTCACATATCATGCATACAATAAGAATCACTGTGAATGCTTTTATCACCAATCTGTCTTTAAGTACCCCATTTGTGTGCAGTAGTATACCATTAAATGCAGACAAAAACCAAACAACTGTTTTCACTCAAAAATACACAACATTCTCTCCCTCAATCATGACGATTCCGAGTCCAAGGCCCTATCTGGAACCCTAGTCAACTGCACTATGTTCAGCTACTCATGGTACTAGTCAACTGCACTATGTTCAGCTACTCATGGTACTAGTCAACTGCACTATGTTCAGCTACTCATGGTACTAGTCAACTGCACTATGTTCAGCTACTCATGGTACTAGTCAACTGCACTATGTTCAGCTACTCATGGTACTAGTCAACTGCACTATGTTCAGCTACTCATGGTACTAGTCAACTGCACTATGTTCAGCTACTCATGGTACTAGTCAACTGCACTATGTTCAGCTACTCATGGTACTAGTCAACTGCACTATGTTCAGCTACTCATGGTACTAGTCAACTGCACTATGTTCAGCTACTCATGGTACTAGTCAACTGCACTATGTTCAGCTACACTTGGAACTTGGCAAAAAAGTCATCTTGAAATCTTAACATAAATACCATAGTGACATCATATTTATAAATAGACTTTATAAAATCTGATCTCAGATATTATATTTATAAATGGACTTTACAAGATCTTACCTTAAACACCACATATATATATATATCGAAGCCGATATAAATTAACTTAATAAAATCTTACACAAAAGTTTGAAGTCCCATTTACAGACTCACAGTTGGGATTGTCAATGTTTCTGAACCAAATTCAAAAAGTTAAGTCCACAAACCTCCACAAAACTCCCCCCCCCCCCAAACATCTGCGATGTTCGCTTTGTCCATTCTGCATTCTACACTCCTTCCTGAGGCAGAAAAAACGGATAAAAAAGATTTCCTTGAACACTTTGCTCATGCTAGAAATCGGCTTATTACGGGACCTTTCCTACAGAATCGTGTTTTCATCACCTATACGAACTGCAGTAAATTCTTCTCTCGGGAGGAATTCATTTCACATTTTATCATCATCATCATCATTATCAGAGCGGTCGGACCATCATTGGAGTTTAAGATGGTATAAGAACTTTGTAAATGAAGAGCTCAGCCCATGTTGCCAAAGATACGGCCATGAAAAGGAGGATACCAAACATATGTTTGAATGTCCAGGAACAATGGCAATTCGAATAGAGTTATTTGGACGAGTGGAGGTGCCACTTAGCATATTGACAATGGAGCCGAAAAAGAGCCTCGCTCTCGCTCGAAGATTTCTTCGTGAAGTCCGTCAGGCCCATTAAGGAAACGAAAAAATATCATCATCATCATCATCATCACTGCCTTTCTCACCCTGCATCACTGCCTTTCTCACCCTGCATCAGGGTATAGGCCACGAACAAACACTTTCCACCTTTCCCTATCCTGGGCTAGCCTCTTGATGTTATTCCATGTCTTCTCACTTTTCTGTACATGTTCTCTGTGACTCTTCTCTAGGTTCCATGTATGTGGCCATCCCCATGATCTCTTACCCTGTGGATTCCAATCCAAAACTTTCTTTGGTACGCAGCTGCCTGGCTTCCTGAGAGTAGGTCAAATCCATCCCCAATGCCTTATAAATAAATTTCCACCTCATCTCTGACTTGGCTCCGTCTTCTTCTCCTTAACACTTTCTCATTTGCGACTTCACATTTCATGCTGGTGGGTGGCCAATCTGGGCAGCAGGCATCGTGTTTAACTCTTTCCACCATCATCTGCGACTATCATTTTCTCTATTTTGCATTGTACACACCATTGTGTCTCTGTTACCACATGGGGCTCGCACACGGACCTATCTCCAAAGAATACGACTTCAAGTTGATCCTAAACCCGCACAAGAACATATGGTCACTTTTAAGGACAAGCGGGCTAACCCAGATTTTGGGGGTTTCCAGAAATCTTGACCTACACCAAAAGTGGTCATTGCCCTACCTATAGGAGAAGTTTGGTTTCATTGGTGTGTATATTTGTTTGGTTATAGAGAAAACTCTCCTTGTCTTTTAAAGAAACTGAATAAGGATATAACAACATTACCTTTGATTTTCTCTGAACAGCCCCCATGTGCTTAAAAGCGACCATATAATAGTATTCACTTAGCGAAAAATGTTTCAGACGGGCAGAAAATCACTAGCGGCCACACCGAAAGTTAAACTTATTGGTAGCTTTTTGGAAGCAGCCTCAAAGTGACCATAAATAATAAAATGAAAGGACACCAGTTGAATAGAATATACTCATGACAATGTTGACAATTTAGAATAACACCAATTGCATTGTAGAGATCCATTATGTCTTTCTGAAGAATTTTTCAAATAAGGGAAGCCACTTTGAGCAAGCTTGCTGGATTATGCATCAGACAGAATGACATTTATCACCACATTCAAAATGGCAGAACATCATTCATTTTTAAAAAACGGCCAACAAGAAACCCCCTGAAAATTGGACATTCGTAGAAATACAGAGAAATATATATATACAAAAATGACAGGGGCAGCTCCAACCACACACGATGGAAATTGAACTCAAGCCTCAGGTGGTTTCCACGGCAACAACTCCTTCTAGTTCTAGCATAACTTTCATCAGGATGCTTGCAGCTTAGTCTTCAGCGCTTTGCCAAAGTTCTTCACCTTGGCCCCGAGCCCTTTGTGCCTGCGAGAATAATCCTTGGTCTCCTTGTTTTCTGCCAGCCGCTGCACAAACAAATCTGGGAAAAGAGAAAGTAAAAATTCTCTTGTCAGTATGTTAGTGTTTTAGCGCCTATAAATGGCTGCTCGCACTGTATGCTTCCCAAGAAGCTGAGGTTGTTTCAGAGTGCTCTCAAGTCTGCTGGGGTAATAGACGTATAGATTGTGAAGCCCATAAAACTTGCTGTTGAGCGGGGATTTGCGCTATACAAATGCTATCTATTATTATTAAAATACCACTCTCATTCACCACAGTGAGGAAACCAGGGTTACAATGGCACACACAAAGCATATCGTCGGCTATCTTTTCAGCTGTACAATTATTTTTTAAAATATTTTTTTTGGCGCAGTTTCATAATCTGCGATATCATTTTCATTTGATCAAGACATATTCGGTCAGAATTCAAATTCTAAATGTTGGAACAAAAGGAAGGAAAGGTACATATTCAAATGTACAATTGTTTAAAGAATTAAACAAGCATTTTTTTTCTCCCTTGAAAATGTTGCTTTCTGGACTTAAAACAGTTGCATAGCTTGCCAACAACATACAAAATAATTCAGAAGCTACTTCAAAGCTACCTCAGAATTAGAAAGTTCTATCTGAGATTTTTGGCCATTTTGAGTTGCTAAGACCATGAGGGCACTCATATGACCTTAGCAGTTGCGAGCGCCGTAAAACCCTATACTGCTACTACTACTAAGACCATGAGGTCAGAAATCAAATGGTTTATCTGCTCTGTCTAACAAAATCATTAAATTATTCTGAGTCGTTATCAAGATTATTCAATTTTTAAAAGTTTGAAATACTGTTGCTGACAAAATCTTTGACGTCAAATTTCTCAAAACTAGGTACTGAGCAGATAGACCTTTGTAATTCTGAGGTAGCAAGATATTACAAAAACAGGCCATTGCCTGTTGCCACAGCACATTGGTCTTTTCATGTAAAAAAAACCACACAAAAATTAAAAGAAAAAATTAAAATTCCAGCTCTTATTATGCACATAACTTACTTACTTACTTGTCCTTACTTGTCCACTGTGTTGGGGTCACTGCAGTCGGAACATGTCCATCTCTGCTCTCCCCCCCTCTTCAGGATCCACATAATTATACAATTAACCCTACTCGTACGTTGCGTTTTACTAACATATTCATACGAAGGGGGGAACTCCGCCCACTACTTTTAAAATAGGAAATTTACTCGTTAATCCGATCTGTACACTTTGCATAGCAGTCTGTCAAAATGATTTTTTGAGAAATACTGAAAGTTTCAAAGAGATCTTCGTACTAGAAGCATTCTAAAATGTGAAGAAAACAACCCTGGGGGTACAAAATGACCACAGGGCGTATGGTTTGATTGGGTCAACAGGCATTTGTTGATAAAGATGGAATAAACACAGAAAAAATTACCGTTGGTGCCGTAGTCGGCTTTCTCAAGGTGGTTGCAGATGAACACCTCAAACATCTGTGTCTCCGTGAACCACTCCAAGAACTGCCGCATCTCCTTGGAGACCATCTCCAGAATGAAGCCCTCTTTCTGTGGAACAAGGTGACAACATAAACATAAACCGGTCACTTCTCTGGGCTGCGGGCCTACAAAATTAGAATAGACAATACATCGGACCCAATCTGTTTGGGTTTTTTTAATAGTAGAGGGTTTAAAAGCGCTCGCAACTGCATACGATCATATGAGCGCCGAGGGGTGGGTGTCAACAGAGAAGTCTTCACAGGGAATCAGACTTAGACTGCTCACCTCTCTAGCTTCAACAGCACAAGGTCTGCTTCGACCATCAAGGCACCCCGGAAATAGCGGGTCACAAGAGAGTGACAAACATACAAAAGAAGTAGAGGAAAATGACAATAGTAAGGATCAGGAAAGAAAAAGCAGCAGTTCCCAGTTGTAGATCAGGCTAGTTATGAGCGTGACATGGGTTAGCCCATTTACAACTCTACTATACTTGAACGAGAAATGTCCCCCCTTTGGGAATGGCCTAAAGACAGTACAGTCAGTGGCACTGCCCCGCGGGGTAACCCAATCTGTCCATTGTGAAGCAAGGAGCCCCAAGATTTGGAGCACTGGCTGCAGAGATGCCCCGCCACAGAGGTCCGGCGGTGGCATCTTTTAGTGGAGGATTCAGGGAGGTTGGACTGCCTCATCCGCTACCCAAGAGAGGCGGTGGCCCTGGTGAAGAGCATGCTCTTCGGGGCTCCAAACATTTCGAACGGATAGGCTACCACACACACACACACACACACAAAACCAATCTAAAGCAGGTAGGAGATAATAAAAGTTACGAAACAAAGGCTCAGTGTCCTGACAGCAAGAAAACCAATTCTGCTTACAAACAAGTGTGTTATTCACATTAAATAGCGACCAAAAAAAGCACTGAAGTCTCCAACCCTCCCACCCCCACCCTCCCCGAGGAAAAGTATGTTCAGCCGTTTACTACATCTCAGAAATAAAGCTTGAGCTAATTCAAAAACGGTCGGAATAGTTTTTTTTTCTTTCCTCCTGCACCACCGTCCTATCGGCCCCTTGTCCTACTGGGGACTAAGAACTCCGTTTTCCACGAAGCTTAATTAAGAATGCTTTAAAACTTCAACAACAGACTAATTTTAAAAACAGTTTTAGTAAGAGTTTTACGGCACTTGCAAAACAATAAGGTCATATAACTGCCGAAGATTAAAGGAGTTACAAGAGAGTAACAAACAGAAAAAAAAGGAGGGGAGATAAAGACGATAGATGTTTGATAGGAAAGAAGAAGCAAACCACACCAGAGCACCCACCAACCACCCACGACTATTTTTTTCATCTCACTACAGTTGCCATACCTGAAATATTCTGTTGCCATCCTGTTGGGTGCGTATATGGTTCCCAAAGTGGCCTATGGCTTCGATAAACATGCGCAGGAAGGCCTCTGCTATCATCAGCCACTGGGCGTTGCTGGCATCTGAAGAAAGAAATACGGGTCATATTTGACATACACAGAAGAAGGAGGCATCTGATTCGTATAGAGCAGGGGTGTCAAACTTAATTGCACAAGCGGCCAAAATCAAATATGAGGCAGCGTGGTAGAATCAGGCTGAAGCCTGCTCTTATCGATTTTAGACCACCTAGGGATCTTTAAGGGGAGGGGCTGGTTTATAAACAAACCTGCTCTTATCGATTTTAGACCACCAAGGGATCTTTAAGGGGAGGGGCTGGTTTATAAACCTATCTCAGTAACTATGGCCTTTTTAGATAAAGCCTTATAGTAAGGAGGTATAGCAGGAAAACAACATATGTAAAATGTAACTTAAATCTTTTTTGTTTAAGTCTACGTCTACGGTTGACATGGTAACGGCCACCATATTGAAAATAAACAGCTTTTATACAAGTAAAAAGGATTTTTTATTTACCAATCAAATTTGGTTCATTGGTAGATGTATATACTCAATATAAAATTTCATACAGTTGGGATCTTCGATATCTTGAATGGGAAAAAGGTTAGAGATGGATAACTGACCTACCCCCTCATGCCTCTGAAATCTATTACATATTCATCCATGTAACTCACTCGTAAAAGCATCGATTTTATTTCCCACCTGTATAAAGTTAGGTCATGGTATGAATAAAAAGCCCTGAAAATTTCACTGGAATCAAAAATAAAATAAAAAAGTAGATGAGAAAAAAACATAAAAAATTGACATTTTGCGGGAAAAAACAACAATCTGTTACATGTGTGTGTGTGTGTGTGTGAGAAAGTGCATGAGTGTGTGTGTGTGTGTGTGTGTGTGTGTGTGTGTGTGTGTGTGTGTGTGTGCGTGTGTGTGTGAGAGTGTGTGAGAGAGAGAGAGTGCATGTGTGTTTGCCTGCGTCTTGGGAAATTACAATGAGAGGGGCTGTAACAAAAAGAAGCCTTGAACAAAGAGGACAAGGAAGAATATCTCCACTCACCAGTGTCTATCTTGCACATGTTGATGGCAGTTTTCAAGGCCCGCTGTAGCTTCCTAGGTATTATGGTCGACTCGTCGCCGTAGCTCCGAACTATGGACTTCTTATCTAAGTCAACAATCAGAACCTGTGACGTAAAAGAAACTCATACTGAAAGAAACATAACATATGTGTGAGGCAACATGGAGAAATCAAGCGCTCATCAAAATAATGAAATCAAAGAAACCTGCATTTGGGGGGGGGGGGGGGGGGGCCAAAGAGGAATTTTTTTCAAATTTTCTTTTTTTGGCTCAACACCTTTAATGTTTTTTAAAAAACACACTTTTGCGTGGATTTTACTGAAAAATATCTATTAAAGGCACAAAAAAAGTAGATTTTCAATTTCCAAGGACTCTCTGTCTATAGAAGTTACCAAACTTAGGCAGCCATTTTCTCACTAATTTTGAAACCAGGCGACCCTAACCTCCTTCAATCGCAAATATTCCGACTTCTATTCAAGATAAATGGATATTTTTTTCACCAAAAGGAAGGCAAAGAAACAGGCTTTAAAATGATGCCAAAAAACTGACGAGCCCCTGATTCCACCAAGTTGTGACACAAATGCATTTTTAGCACTCATTTGAATTTTGCTTTTTCAATTAGGCCAAATAGAAGTTTTATTTGTTTGTTTGAGTTTGAGTAAAGAGAAGCACATCATGACTGATGAAAACTGGCCAAAAAAACAAATGCATTTCAAGTGCTGCTTTGAATCTTGAGTTTTTAATTTATACAACTTTATTTGTTTTCGGGTTGGTTTTTTTTTTGGTTTCTTTGAGTAAAGAGAAGCACAATACTGGCCATTACGTGCTGGGAGAAGTGACACTTATAACACTTTAAAAAATCCACTAATTGTTTTTTTTTACAGTAAGAGTTTTACGGCACTTGCAACACGATAAGGTCATATAAGTGCCAAAGATTAGAGGAATTACAAGAGAAGTAACAAACACAAATTAGAAAGGAGGGGAGATAAAAGGACAATAGACATTTGATAGGAAAGAAGGAGCAAACCACACAGGAGCACCTGCCAACCACCCCCAAAAATCCACTCACCTCCTCCAAGTCCATCTTGTGCAGAGATAGGAAAGAAGAAGCAAACCAAACCACACAAGAGCACCTGTCAACCACCCACACAAAAATCCACTCACCTCCTCCAGCTCCATCTTGAGCAGTGATAGGAAAGAAGGAACAAAACCACAAAAGAGCACCTGCCAACCACTCACCTCCTCCATCTCCATCTTGAGCACGCTGGGCAGGAAGGCGGACAGCACGCCGAGGATGTAGGGCATGGGAGCACACACCACGTCCAGCATCTCCTGGGGCAACAGCGGGATGTACACGTGCTGCCACTGGAACGGGTACATCAGCGCCGCCAGAGCATGGACGGTCTGCGTCAGCACACTGTTTTTAGATTTTAATGTAATAGTTTTACGGCACTTGCAACACAATAAGGTCATGTAAGTGCCGAAGATTAATTGGAGGTGTTGTTTGTTTGTTTTAGCTGAGGTTTTACAGTGCTCGCAACTGCATAAGGTCATATGAGCGCCAGAAGATTAGAGGTGTTACAAGAGAGTAACAAACACAAAAAAGAAGGAAGGGAGATAAAGATGATAGTTGCTTGATAGGAAAGAAGAAGCAAACCACACCAGAGCACCCGCCAACCACCCACACAACACACTGTGATTGAGTTGAGGTGGAGGTGGGGAAAGGGGTGGCGGGGGGAAAGAAATATTAGTTTGGCAAGTTTGTTTAGTAAAAGTTGTACGGCACTTGCAACACAGATAGGTCATATTATATTATAAGTCATCTTTAGTTTTAGTAGAGGTTTTACGGCGCTCACAACTGCATAAGGTCATATGAGCACCAGAAGATTAGAAGTGTTACAAGAGAGTAACAAACACAAAAAAGAAGAAGGGGAGATAAGGACGATAGATGTTGGATAGGAAAGAAGAAGCAGCAAACACACCAGAGCACCCGCAAGAGACATATGTGAGGCAGCGTGGTGGAATCAGCTCTCGTCAAAATAATCAAAGTTAAGAAACTAGCTTTTTTCGGTGGGTTTGTGAATTTTTTTCAAATCTTTGTTTTTTGTCTCAACACCTTTCATGCCCATTAAAGAACTTATTTCTGTGTGGATTTTTCTGAAAAACGTTGATTAAAGGAACAAAAAATGTAAATTTTAAGTTACCACGGACTCTTAAGCTAAGGAAATAACTAATCTTTGGTGGCCATTTTCTCACTAATTTTGCCTCTGAAAACAGGTGACCCCCACTTCCTTCATTCGCATATATCTCGACTTGTTTTCAAGATAAATGGATATTTTTTTCATCCAAATAAAAACAAGTGAACAAGCTTTACGATGATACCAATAACTCTACATGCCCAAAAATTGACGAGAGCCTGATTCCACCACGCTGCCTCACATATATATTTATATATCTGCCTTATGTGACAATGTCTCACAGCCCTTATCAGCACTCACGAGAGGTTGGCCGAGCACAGCATGACCCTCCGCTCCATGAGCATGGCGGAGAACACCAAAAACAAGAAGACATATATCTTTAGTTTTAGTAGAGGTTTTACAGCGCTCGCAACTGCATAAGGTCATAGGAGCACCAGAAGATTAGAGGTGTTACAAGAGAGTAAAGTAAAGTTTTTCCGCATCCGCTCCGGACATTGGGGACTGCCTTGTTAGTGAGACAACTTCCTGGGCCTTCCGCATATTGTGGTAGGGTGGCCAGTTCCTTTCAACGCCGCCTTTACTTCCCCACCTCAAAGTCAGGTACCCATTACTGCTGGGTGGGAAGGAGGGGGCGAAAAAAATCTGTGTCCGAACCGAGGCTCGAACCCGGACTTTCCGCTTCGTAGACGAGCGCATAAAAGAGAGTAACAAACACAAAAAAAGGAAGAAGGGGAGGTAAGGACGATAGATGTTGGATAGGAAAGAAGAAGCAGCAAACACACCAAAGCACCCGCAAGAGACATATATATATTTATATATCTGCCTTATGTGACAATGTCTCACAGCCCTTATCAGCACTCACGAGAGGTTGGCCGAGCAGAGCATGACCCTGCGCTCCATGAGCATGGCGGAGAACACCTTGACCAGCTTGTCTGTGCCCAGGTAGCACAGGGGGCTCTCGTAGTTCACCTGGTGGCGAGGAGGACAACCCACAGAAATGTTACGGTTTAGTTTTGTTATTAGCAAAAAGTTTTACGGCACTTGCAACATTAAAATGAAAAGTGGTTTCCAAAACTCTGACTGTAAGTCAGTTTTGATGAGCGCCTGATTTCACCACAATTTTAGTCTTAGTTTTAGTAGACGTTTTACGGCGCTCGCAACTGCATAAGGTCATATGATGTTTGTTGTTTGTTTTAGTAGAGGTATCACGGCGCTCGCAACTGCATAAGGTCATATGAGTGCCAGAAGATTAGAGGTGTTAAAAGAGAGTAACAAACATAAAAAAAGAACCACCTACTTTCACCACAATGCTACACACATACATAATACAAATGTATGTGTAAAGCGTCGTGACGATATCAGGCGCTTGTCAAAACTGACTTACAGAGTTTTGGAAAACCACTCTTCAAATGTCATTAAAGTGCCAAAGGTTAGAAACATTGCAAAAAAAAGGTGAGTTTTTTTAGTGTGGCACTTGCAGCAACACAAATAGGTCATTTAAGTGCCAAAGATTAGAGAGAAGTTACTATAAAGTAACAGACAGCAACGCAAATAGGTCAATAAAGTGCCAAAGATTAGAGAGAAGTTACTAGAAAGTAACAGACAGCAACGCAAATAGGTCATTTAAGTGCCAAAGATTAGAGAGAAGTTACTAGAAAGTAGCAGACAAAGAAAAGAAGGATTGTTTATTGGAGTAAACAGAAGCACATCGACACAATAACAGTCATTTGTGAGGCAGCGTGGTGGAATCAGGCTCTCGTCAAAATAATCAAAGTGAAGAAACTTGCATTTTTCCGCAGGTTTGTGAAATTTTTTTCCAATTTTTGTTTTTTTGGCTCAACACCTTTCATGCCCATTTAAGAACTCAATTCTGTGTGGATTTTTCTGAAAAACGTTGATTAAAGGCACAAAAATGTAAATTTTCAGTTACCACAGACTCTTAAGCTAAGGAAATAACTAATCTTTGGCAGCCATTTTCTCACTAATCTTATCTCTGAAAACAGGTGACACCCACCTCCTTCATCCGCAAATATCTCCACTTGTATTCAAGATAAATGAATATTTTTTTCACCCAAATAAAGACAAAGGAACAAACTTTAAGATGATACCAATAATTCTACATGCCCAAAAATTGACGAGAGCCTGATTCCACCACGCTGCCTCACATTTAGTGCTGGGAAACAGTAAGACGGAAACAACAGAAGAAAAGTAAAGAAGTAGGACCTACCAGTGGCATCCACCAACAAATTAAAAAAAGGAGGAGAGATAAGGCTTAGTTTAGTTAAAGTAAGAGTTTTACGGCACTTGCAACACAATAAGGTCATATAAGTTCCAAAGAATAGATTACATGTTACAAGAGAGTAACATACACAAAAAAGGAGGGGAGATAAGGACAACAGATGTCTGACAAGAAAGGAGGACCAGCAAACGACACCAGAGCACTCGTCAACCACCCACACAGATTATTGTATTATTGTTGTACAAGTTAAAGGCCCCTTTCAACATTGTAAGGTTTATTTATGAGGCAGAACCTTCCAATTTAACATCACCAAATTTCAACACGACTCATAGACTTGACAAAAGAACAGGGTGTTTGTTTTTCATTTAATTAAGTAGGAGTTTTACGGCACTTGCACCACTGTTTGGTCACACAAGTGCCGAGAATTACAGATCTGCCATGATCTGATAAAACGCATTTTTTGTCAAAAATCAAGGTTTCGAGAGAATTGCGATTTAGTGTTTTTTGCTAATTAAACAAACAAATAGCAATGTCGTTTTGTTTGACTATCCCACAAGAAGCTATATCTCATTTACCATGACTAACCCAAATTCTCATCGAATTTGAGCTGAAGACAAACAAATAAATAAGAAGAATGCGTTTTATTAGATTACCCTTGTAAAGGGAAAGTGTTTTATTTTCAACGCATTAGTCCCAGAATGATCTGATAAAACGCATTTATCTACATCTCATTAACCATTCTTGAAACTACAGACCGAAAGGCAAAGTTGTGACCTACAAATATGTTACTAGACAGTTACATTCAAAGAAAAGAAAGAGGGGAGATAAGGACAATACGGTAGATTTTTGATATGAAAGAAGGAGCAAATCATACAAGAGCGCCGGCCTACCACCCACAAAGGATGTGGGCACCACGCACTGTGATGCAATCAACAAAAGATGCGGACAGTGAGAATCCCCCTAAATTTTCCAGTCGTTCCTGAAATAGTCATAGTGACATGCAACATGGATTTCTAGGGTGACATCAATGGTCACTATAAGTGTCAGATTACTGGTTACTATTAGTAAATCTTTTCTTATACCAAGGCACCATGCTATCATCTCCATCACAATGTCTTAAAAAGAATGGCAACGAAAGCCGAAAAAATGGTTGAGAGGGAGAAAACTTTGAATGAGATATGAAAACTGAAATTATGAAAACTGGATGAATCCCACAATAGATATTGAAAAACAAGGGAACGCTTGCGTCCAAAGCAGTCTCAAAATGAAAGAGAGAAAGAAACAAAATTGATGAAACAATGCAAGTCACTGATGACTTCCCCTGCAGTTACCACAACCAACATTTTCTGGCCCACATTGGCCTAATCAACCAACACTTGTGGTATCATTACCAAAAACCCAGGTTCCCAAACTCCAAACTTTTTGCGGCCATATCCTATTCAAATGCACTCAGCGTGTGAGATACATCATCACAAGAGCGGAAAAATTGATGACTTTAACCATCAAAACCATCCAATGTAAGCATTTCTATGCCCCCATCAACATAGTTTGGATCATTCAGGAGGCCGGCTTCCAATCCTGTCTATCAGTGCCATCCCCCGACTGAAAGAAATACAAATTCCCAAAATAAAGACCAAGATACTCGATATAAGAAATCTCCCCACTTGGAAATCGGACTCAGGTCTCCTGTGTGCGACAGCGAAGCGTCTAATCGCTACACCATAGACGCCAGTACTTTTACCATCAATGGGACTTAAAAAACAATGGGTGAAAGGACATATTTGCATTTCTTCACAGCCCCAAGGTCTGGAACACAAGCCCACGAGTAGTAATTTCAAAGAGATCAAATCTTGTGAGTCATTCAAAAGTCAGCTCAAGTCATTTTTGTTTTTAGATATAAGAGATATGTCTAGAATTTTTAGTCACAACACAATGCACTGTTTATGTGTTGCTATTGTATCTGTACAGCGCTCAAGAGCCTAAATTCTTTAATCAGGGTTGGGCACTATATAAATGTCATTTTCTATCATCATCATTATTATTATTATTATTATTATTATTATTATTATTATTATTATTATTATTATCATCATTATTATTATTATTATGAATATTATTATTATTATTATTATTATTATTATTATTATTATTATTATCATCATTATTAATATTGGTATATCAGTTTTGGTCACATAACTGCAGCAGCATGCATCACAAATAGAAATGCTAAAATAAACATTTTTAAAAACCCCCATCAAAACTGGCACGACACACACTTCTAAATATGTCTGTGAGGAAGTCTCAAATATGATGCTTTCTTTAAAAATTTGAGAACTGTTGGAACAATATGTACAAATACAAAAAATGTGTTTCAAAAGTGAGCCACCAGAAACACTTCTAGGTTTTACTTTGATCACCAAAAGCTCCCAAAAGCTGGGCAAATGTGTAGCAAAGCAAACTTACCTTCTTTTGAGGTTGACATAAGAACATTCTTCCCATTTGAAAATTCTGTCCTTTGAAAAAAAAAAATTGGATTGCCAATCTTTCAGTTAGGCCATAAATTTTATTTAATAGATTAAAAATTAGAAATGAAATCTATGTACGCATTATCAAGAATAAAATGGCAAAAAGATCTTACGTTTTCCAACCTATTATCTGACGAACGGGTGAGGAAAATGGTCTCCATATCGCCGTTGTTATCCTGAAATGACGAAAATTTGGGAAAACATACATGCAAGCTCATGCTGCTAAAAGGTGGATAAACTGGCAAACCCACTACCAAAGGCAAGCAAAACAGCAAAATGCTTATATATATTCTGGCAAATCTCACTATCAAACTGAATCATCATTCTTGTCACACTGTTTTCATATGGTAGGAATAAAAACTTTTTATCTGTAAGTGCGTACATGATTGAGATCAACTCAGTCATATGCAAAACAATCAATATATATAGCAGAACACTATCACTACTAAGTAATCAAAGTGACTCATTTAAAATATGAGACAAGCATGTAATGCAAAATTCTGTGGTGTCGAATATCAGCGTGCTGTTGTCAATAACTTAAATTTACTTTACATTTGCAAAAGCTACGAAAGCTCTCGGTTAAAACAGCTAAATAAATATGCCCTCCACATAACATGTGCCAGCTGTTCAGATGTCACAAGCCCAAAATGTTGACATTTTCAAATATATTGCAGTTTCAGTTGAGTGGTATCTATCTGTTGCATATGCGTGATAAATATTTTGTCGAAATGATCATTTTCAATGATTCAAAAAGCATGAAAAGACACCTAATATGGGTAGTTTCTCAAAGAAAAAAAACATTTCCTCCCCCTTAAAAAATTTTGCTTTCTTGACTTAGAACATTTGAACAGCTTGCTGACAATAAATTGCTGCTACCCTCCAAATTCTATACCCTAAAACCCCCGCAACTTTTCATGGGGTAAGCAAATCACAGCAAACCGGAAGTTATAAGTCATATAACAAAATATCTAACACAAACTTCAGAACTTTCATGAAAAAAAAGCCCAAGCAAAAAAAAAAATTTTTATTTTTAAAAAAAGACTAGATTCAATAAATTAAAAGAACATAATTCTAAAATCTTGTCATGAAGCATGTTCACACTCACGGAAGAATATGTCTGTATATATCTGTAAACTGTTTCAAAACCTTGGACGATCAGATCTATTTAAAGGCAAATTCTTTTTCAATGCATTCTACAATTACATGAAATAACTAAAGGATACAGTTTTGTTAGTTAGTCATTTCAATACTTTAGTCCATACTGAAACTTAAAACTTGGAACATATAATCTTACTTACACTAAGGCAAAATATGGTCTGATCATACATGATAACAAATAATAGATTGAGTTCAAACATAATGCTACCAATGCTCAACATGCTCCCACAAGATGGCCGCTCGGCACAACTCACCAGCGTTCGGATGTTACAGACTCTGCCAGGTTTGGGCAACGGGCGACCGAAGGAAGCGGCAATGACCTCCATGGCAAGGTCAGAGGAAACTCTGCGACGAGACTCAATCTCATTGAGAAGCTGAGAGAAGAAAATAGAAACAAGTGAAGTGCAGTGCAGATGTTAATTTATCCTGAATTAAAGCTCCAGTGGCTAAGTGAGTAGTGAGTTTTGACTCAAGCAATGTCAAGCAAGTGTTGGTGACAAAGGGATCAGATGGGTGGTCACTGGAGTGTGTCCTTGAGCAAGACACGACAACCCTAGCTCAAAATACAGGGCGCTGCACAGTGGCGACCAACAGTGGCATTGTTTGTAAACTGTTCTGTAATAGTGTGTATTTATGTATGTATTTATGCATGTAATTATTTATGTATGTACGTATCAATAATTATGTATTTATGTATGTATGTTTGCCATTGTAAAACAAAGTGCCCTTCTGGGACAAATAAAAGAGTAATTTATTATTATTATTATTATTATTATTATTATTATTATTATTATTTTCATTTTCTTCATCATATTTCTTTTTTACTCTTTCCCTTTGTTCTCCAATCCAGTCGATGTATCTCCACCCAATAAATCAATTAACAGCACAATTAAGTAGTCATTACTGTAAATATTTTTAAAACTATATTCAACATTCATTTTTTTTAAAAAACCTTTTAACCCTTCCAGCCCCAGCCATTTTTGTGCACTCCCTAACCCCAGTCCCAGCCAATACAGCAGCATTTCAGAAAAAGAGGCATTCATTCTAAAAAGTGATGTAGTATCTTTGTAATGTAGCTTTGATAATAACATATACCAATTTTTAAAGGTAAATGAACAAGTAATAAGAAAATTAAAGTTTAATTAAGTTCGCTAATTTCGAAAAATGTGCGAATTCGGTACCCCCCGAAACTGAGAATATACGCTCTTGGGACAGAGGGAGGTACAAGCGCTGCTGAAAATATACGCGCTTGGGGCTGGAAGGGTGAAGAGCTTTCTCTTTTATTCAAAATCTTCTTGAAATCCTCTACAATGCAAACAAGCTACAGATAAGAGTATAACATATCCCTCAACACGTTCTTTTATGCTGCCTGACCAGACCATCAATCATTTATTTATAGTATAGAGACACCATGCAGCTATATCCGGGAAGCTGAGAATGTTTCGGAGTGTTCTGTGGTCTGCTGGGGTAATAATATAGAGTAAAGCGCATAGAACCTGCTGTTGAGCGGGGATATGCGCTATACAAATGCTATTTATTATTATTATTATTATTATTATTATTACCTAGGTGCTGTTTTAGCTAGTTTTAGTAAAAGTTTTACAGTGCTCGCAACTGCATAGGTCATATGAGCGCCAGACAATTAGAAGTGTTACAAGAGAGTAACAAACATAAAAAAGAAGGGGAGATAAGGAAGATAGATGTTTGATAGGAAAGAAGGAGCAAACCACACAAGAGCACAGGCCAAATACCCACTATGCTGCCTCTAATCTAAAAGAAAATAAAGAAACCACAAAAGACACAAGGCAGCAAAGTAGCTTTGCAGACAAAATTCAATACTATTGCCCAATGCAGATTCCAAGTTTAAAAAATTTTTTTTTTTTTTTTAAATTAAGTGGGTGGTTGGCAGGTGCTCTGGTGTGGTTTACTTCTTCTTTCCTTTCAAACATCTATCGTCCTTATCTCCACTCCTTCTTTTTTCTGTTTGTTACTCTCTTGTAACACCTCTAATCTTCTGGCGCACATATGACCCTATGCAGTTGCGAGCGCCGTAAAACCTCTACTAAAAAAAAAAGTAAAAATAAGAAAAAAAACACATGAACTCACGGTGTTGTACATGTTGAAGGCATCGATGGGACTGATGATACAGGTCACCTCTGGCAAACTTGCATCAGGAGGCTGGAGACAGAAGAAATGGGACAAACATAAAGCTTAATGATAATAATGAGAAGAAGAAGAAGAAGAAGAAGAAGAATAACAGCGACAACAATAATTTAATAATAATATTGATGACAGTGAAAATAATAATAGTATTTAAAAAATAATAATGGTAATAATTAATGAAAAAACAATAATAATAATGTGAGGCAGCGTGGCGGAATCAGGCTCTCATCAATTTTTTGGCATGTAGAGTTATTGGTGTCATCTTAAAGCTTGTTCACTTGTCTTTATTTCGATGAAAAAAATATCCATTTATCTTGAATTAAAGTCGAGATATTTGCCAATGAAGGAGGTGGGGTCACCTGTTTTCCGAGGTAAAATTGGTGAGAAAATGGCCACCAAAGATGAGTTATTTCCTCAGCTTAAGAGTCTGTGGTAACTGAAAATTTACATTTTTTTAGCCTTTAATCAACGTTTTTTAGAAAAATCCACACAGAAATGAGTTCTTTAATGGGCATAAAAGGTGTTGAGTCAAAAAACAAAAATTTGATAAAAACTCACAAATCTGCGGAAAAAATGCAAGTTTCTTCACTTTGATTATTTTGACGAGAGCCTGATTCCACCACGCTGCCTCACTACTAATAATAATAACAATAATAACTGCATTTATATAGCATGCAATATGATATAAAACTTTTTAGAACTTTTGCATCTAGAGCATAAAAAAAAAGGAAACTTCCAGAATTTTCTCCCTCTACCATTTTTTTTTTTTCAAGTGAAAAAATAAATGGCCTCACTCCCCTAAAAAAAGGAAATAAACGAGAACGGACATCCGTGAAGTTAGCCTACAGTAAATGATAAATCCTACTGCAGCCACCACACTCACCTGAACTCTTCGACAGTATCCATAAACACGGGAACCATCAGAGTAGGTCATCACAAAGGAATAAGACTCACTGTAAAGACACCATCAAACGAAGACAGTATTACACAATGATGTCAAGTACCGTAGTAGGTTACCAGTGAGACAGCTTAATCAAAAAACTGCCACATTTCACCCGTAGCAGGCTGATTTTTAAAAATTGAACAAGTTGAGCGGGGACATCAAATAGTTTTCATTTTAGTACGGGTTTTACGGCGCTTGCAAAACAAGTTGGTCAATATAAGAGCCAAAGTTTGGAAGTGTTGCTAGAAAGTTACATACACAGAAAAGAAGACGGAAGGAGCGCATCATACCAGAGTGCCCATGAATCATCATCATCATCAGTGCCTATCACCCCTGGCAGGGTATAATAATATGCCACATACAAGCTCCTTCCATTTATTTCTATCCTGGGCCATCCTTCCTAGCTCGCTCCAAGTGAGCTTCATCTCTATTCATATCTTAACCCCTTCATTGTGGAGATGTTTCTATTCATGTTTGTACACTCCAGATAAAAATCTTCATTAAGGAGAAGATTTAACCAAAGCCATAATAGCTTTTCCCTCATTTAAGAACTAGCTGGGCCCCCTTTCGATGAAAAGAATGATCGGTGCATTAACATCAACTGAAAGTCATTGGCCTACTATATTTACACTCTACTGGAATGGACCAATAAATCTTGAGAGAAAAGTGACACACGTGTTTCCAAGTTGCCAAATATATAATAGATGTATAGATTGATTCTCTATTCCGCTTTCCGTGGTTGTACACTCCCTAATTTCAAAGGTGCGGGACCAATACGCACGGCTAGTGAACGGAAACCTCACTTGCTTACAATGGCGTCTTAGAAGACGGACTTTCCCAAGATTAGAAGTCTGTGTGGACGAAATAAAGAACTTTGGAAAAATCAGGGAAAGCAGTTTGCGTGGATTTTTTAAAGTTAGGTCCTAGCCACATGGATGCTGTGGACGCCTGCAAAGTTTCAAAGCTGTGGGTTCGGTAATAAGGGAGGAGTTTGTGCACAAAGCCTCCCACGTCCACTTTTATATTATAGATAAATAAACAACTGCTAACACAAGTGATCATTACTGCACTGCTCCTAAAATGTTCCCAGTCAACCACAGTAGAAAAAATTAAATGGCAGAAAACCGGCTTGAAAGAACACAACGTGGGCAGTGTTGCATACAAACGTATCTCAAAGGCCACCAAAAATGACTTACGTACGTCTGTACGCAATACTGCCCGCAACAAGCACGTACATAAGTGTGCACAGTAGGGAAGAGGTTCACTCACCTGACGGCTGTGGCGGAGCCTGGTTTGAAAATGCCGGCGTCTGGGAAGCAGAAGCTCGGCACAGACAGATTGCTGGACACCTGTGATAAAATTTGGGAAAACAAAACAGATGTCACTCTACAATATATGTTTTTATTTGTTTGTTTGAGTAAAGAGAAGCCCATCGTCACAATAATGGTCATTTAGTGCTGAGAAAAAGCAAGACAGACAGACAGACAGACAAAAACCCTAGAGGGAAAGTTTTAAAAAAAAGGGGGGGGGGGGGTAGTGGTCCCCTCTAACCACCTGCATGTTACATTATCTCAGTCTCTATGCTGGGATCCATTATCCCACTCCCATTCCAGGTTTTTTTTTGTTCTAGTAAGAGATTTATGTCACTTCCAAGACAATAAGATCATATAAGTGCCAAAAATTAGAATTGTAGTTAAATTAAAAGAGAGAAAACAAACACCCTCAAAAAAAAAAAGGAGGAGAGAAAAAAATGATAGATGTTTGATAGGAAAGATTTTTTAAATAAAAATAGTAGAGGGTTTTATGGCGCTCGCAACTGCATAAGGTCATATGAGCGCCATGATAGGAAAGAAGGAGCAAACCAGGCCAGATCACCCGCCAACCACCCACTATCCTACCAGTCCAAGATGGTCCTGACAGGAAAGGCCAGAGCAGCTCCTCTTTTTTCTAGTTTTAGTAGAGGTTTTACGGCGCTCGCAGCTGCATAAGGTTATATGAGCACCAGAAAATTAGAGGTGTTACAAGAGAGTAACAAACATAAACAAGAAGAAGGGGAGATAAGGACGATAGATGTTTGACGGGAAAGAAGAAGCAAATCACACTAGACACTAGAGCACCCACCAACCACCCACACTCCTCTTTTAAAATGTCTAAACTGCGTCGATTTGGATGTGAAAATGTTACAATTTCCATAATATTTAGCATATGTGTGTATGTGTTGGTGTGCGTTTGTGTGAGTATGCTAATGTGAGTGTGTGTGTGTGTGTGTGTGTATGCGCGTTTGTGAGTGAGTGTGTGTGTGTGTGTGTGTGTGTGTGTGTGTGTGTGTGTGTGTGTGTGTGTGCGTGTGTGTGTGTGTGTGTGTGTGTGTGCGCGTGCCCCTGAGTGCATATGTGTCTGTTGAGTCTATATCTACCTCCATCCTTTTTTTTCTTGAAATGAAGAAGTTCCTAAATTAGTATAAATCAGTTTTTTTAACTACAACACAGCTAGCTTCTGATAGTTTATTATTATGCCATGGTTTACATTAACCCAAAGATAGTACATAACAAGATGGGCCACTCAGCCAAAAAAGTGTCCGCAGGAACTTAGCAGGAAGTTCGCTCTTTGCTTCAGATGGCGCTGCAGTCTGTTTTGAAGCTCTCTTTCGTTTTTCCAGAAGAAGAATAGGAATCGCACCTCCTTGCGTGCGCAGATCGACTGCAGTTCATCAGCAGTTCGGGTTTGTTCTGTGCGGAGTTTAAGGGGTTTTCTTTATTTTAATGACCTCTCGCCTTTCATTCTAAAGTCAAATTATACGAAGAAAACAATCACCTTTTCCTCCGGAAGAGTTTTTTTGTCAGCGTCACCATTTTAAAAAAGCGTTCTTCCGAAATTTATTCAAAAACTTGCTAGTTTCACTTTTATTTTTTTAACTCAAGTAGGGTAACTCTGTTCGCAAAGGGTGCGCATTTGTGAAGAGGGCGCCACCGAATTTTGAGGACACTTTTTAATTGACTCAAAGAGAGAAGTGGCCCCTCTTGTTATGTAGACTCTTTGATTAAACACAGCATGAAATAAAACACCCTACACACTAGTAATACCCACCAAACACACACACAAACAAACAAACACACACACACAAACAAACACACAAACACACACACACAAACACACAACACAAACACACACACACACACACACGCACACAAACACACACACACACAAACACACACACACACACACACACATACACACACACACACACACACACACATCTGTTTTGTCCCAGGTTTTATATGTAAACACCATTATGACAAAACACAAAAAAACAAAAAAACAGAAAGAAGCTTTGCTATCATGCTGAACATCTGGTCCCTGTCCCCTTTACAAACCCCTTCAAAAATAATAGATCAAGGCTGATCAATAAAGATAATGAGGAAAAAAGAAGAGAAAAAAAAAATTAATTAGGATTCTGAAGTTCTGTATTGAATACTTTTTAAAAAATAATAAATTAGGATTTTGAAGTTCTGTATTGAATACTTTAAAAAAAAAAAAATTAGGATTTTGAAGTTCTGTATTGAATACTTTAAAAAAAATAATAAATTAGGATTTTGAAGTTCTGTATTGAAAACTTTAAAAAGATAATAAATTAGGATTTTGAAGAATCTCTATAATGATATGGTACTCAAATCCAACACATTTTCGTCACAATAAAGAAATTACAGCAACAGTCTTTCATTACAGCAGTTTTACAAATGATTAAAAACGATCTCACATTAGTCATTTTAAAAACAAAAAGTTGCCTTTTCATCTTTTTTTTACTTTTGAATTACAAATGTCTCCATGTCTTGACAATAATATCTTTTGAGAATTTCCCTCGGTTTAATGAACTACAAGTGAATGGAAACTGTAAGCCGTACTTCAATAAAGTCAGAGCATTCAACTGTTACTTACAGGGTTAAAATTATATGTTCTCCGCATATTATTAGCGCATTTCAGTCTATAAATCAACCAACCAGCTTTAAGCACACAGTTTTCCCACCGACAACCAAATCCAAAAAGGTTCACTAACATACGCTTTAAACATAAAATACAGCACACAAATGTATACATTTCCATGAAAGTGCGACATAAATATGTACGAAGACACAGATCACAGCAAATGTTTATGAGCCTGACATTCTATTCGGTGAGAACTTTCACCACTTTATACTTCAAACCAACCTATATTCAATTCCCTAAAAAAAAAAAAGCGTTTGACACACCACCAAACTTTATATAAGGCAAACATTTTTCACCATCCCGTATTTAAACTTAGCCTCATTCATAATATCAGAACAGATCGTTTGTCCATAAAACACGGTACCCTTGCTATAGCATTACCTTTTCCTCATTATGCATTATGAAGAAAAAAAAAACATCTAAGGGGCACACAGCACTAACATATTGACATTCAATTCACATAAATAACAAATACATTTTCACATGAAGAAGAAGAAGAAGAAAGAAAAAAACAACAAAAAAACAAGTAACCTCATTTTTCTTACACCCACCACGTCCATTTTGAATTTCCCCCCTCCCGAACGAAAAAATACACCAAATAATAAAAAAAATAAATTTAAAAAAACCCTTAAGAAAGCCAAGAGCCGCCAAACAGGAGCATTCGTGTGCCTGACCAGAGCCAGTAATTAACAGTTGTTCCTGGTTAGTTGCAAAGCAAGCAAAGGCAACGTCAGAAGATGTTGTAAACAATCAATGAACCGAGGTTGTTACGAAAACTCTGCTAGAACCAAATATGTGGCAAACAGCGAGCAGAACACAGAAACCCAACATAACAGCATCTTGCAAAGGACCGTCGAAGCCAGATACAGTAACCGAAAGGAAAAAAAGGTATAACATTGTCTTTATAAACACCGTATCAGTAAAAAATAAAAATAAGGAAAGTGGTAAGGGTGGCAATGATGCTGCTGCTATTGCCAATAGTAATAATAATAATAATAATAATAATAATAATAATAATAATAATAATAATAATAATATTAATAATAATAGCAGTGAAGTGGCAATTGTGATGATGATGATGATGATGTTGATGATGATTGATGATGATGATGATGATGATGATGATGATGATGATGATGATGATGATGATGATGATGATCCTCCTGAGGAAGCCTAGGGGGGGGGGGGGGGGGCGAAACGTCGAGCCACTTCGTTAAAACAAATTTTAAATATTTTATGTTAATTTTTTGGCTGTAAATCAAGCAAAACTCTCCCTCCTACTTTGCTTTTTAAACAATGATGATGATTGATGATGATGATGATGATGATGATGATGATTGATGATGATGATGATGATGATGATGATGATGATGATTGATGATGATGATGATGATGATGATGATGATGATGATGATGATGATGATGATGATACGACAGCAATCGTACTGATGACGATAATGCCAAGGATGATGGTGATGACAATCTCAATACTCTAATTTCACAGTACTTTTCTCAAATGAGGATGATAATGATTCAAAACACTAATGTGATAGGATGACGCTTTTCCCCCCACTTATCAAGACAGGAAAGGGGAGAGATGGGGGATGATGATGATTGTGAAAGCGAAGGTAAATGTGCAGTGGCTGCAGCTCATAGTGGTTGTACTGCCTCATCAGTCAATGATAATATTAATAATAAAGCTGGGTAGTGTTGATGATGATGATGATGGCGAGGTTGGCTCAGAGATGAAGATGATGAGGAGCTAGACAAGGTTGGCTGCAACCATAACGGCTCGGCTTGCGAGCAAAGAGGCAAAGGTGTATACATACAAATGAGATGCCCAACTACATCTTCAGAGTCAAATCAAAACAAAACGGTTCAACCTTTCCTTCAGAACAAAATTTTCAAAAGAAACTCAGTGAAACTTCAACAAAAAGGACAAAGATTGTGCTCGTGTGCAAAAAAAAACAACAAAAAACAAGTGACTAGGTGACAAATGTGGTGTTCCACTTCAAAATAATGACACACTGCTGCATTTGATCCCACAACAATCTTTATCTAATATTTCCACCAATCCCTACTCCTCGCCATCCCTGTCCCCACTCCACCTCTATGCAAAGGTCCAGAAAGAATTTCATCTTAACCCTTCCAGCCCCAGCCATTTTTGAGCGCTTCCTTACCCCAGTCTCAGCCAATACCGCGGTATTTCAGAGAAACTGGCATGCATTCTAAAAAGTGATCTAGTATCTTTGTAATGAGGTTTAGGTAATAACATAGAACAGTGTTCAAAGGTAAATGAACGAATATTATGAAAATTACAATTTAATTAGGTTCGCTAATTTAGAAAAATGCGCAAAATTGGTACCTCCCGAAACTGAGAATATAACGCTCTTGGGATGGTGGGAGGTACAAGCTCTGCTGAAAATATACGCGCTTGGGGCTGGAAGGGTTAGCACTTACATCCCCCCCCCCCCCGCGCCCCACAAGCAATCCACACCTCCACCACAACCCCCCACATCCCCAAACATGCAGTTGTTATACATGTATAGCTCATCAATCACAGAAAAAAACAACCCAACCCATAGCTGATGCCATTCAAAGCCTCCTTCGCCCACAAGTCTTATATCCCCACAGTCATAATGGCGTGCGTGCATAACCTCTCAGCTACATAACAGCCCCTCTGACAGTCAGTGAAAGTGGAGTTTTATTTGAAGAATGTTACCCCCAAAAAAAAAAAGAAAAAGAAAAAAAGAAAAAAAGAAAAAGAAAAACTACATGCAACCTCAACAAACAAAAACAAAAGGCTGTTTGAATGACGAGCATACCACAGCAAAATCTCTGTACTGGAAAATAAAATGGCAAAAATGTTGGATGACATGAGAATGAAATGAGAATAATGGACCATACAAGATAAATCCTGGACTATTGGGGGTAACCTTGGGGCTACCTGTTCAAAAGCTATAAAACAATCAAAACTAAAAGAGTAATCCAATAAACGGTTGAAGTGAAAATAGGTGATGAAAAATCACATCTTTATGCTTCCTGAAAACTCATAAAATGAGCAAAGCTTCTCATGCCAAATCTAGGTAAAAATTTTATTCTATACTAAGGAGGCTGCAGTGCTATTTGACATCAACAATAGACCCATCGCAGACTAAGTAGTCACAGAGACCATTTCTGCTGTCTTTTCGTACAGGGGTTTTCAATTCTTTTCCCCAGACTTGAGCCTTTGATAGTGACAAAATTCCAGAACAGCATGGACTTAATGACATTCAGGGCAGTTTTGGTTTGTTTTAGTAGAAGTTTTACGGCACTCGCAACTGCATAAGGTCATATGAGCGCCAGAAGATAAGATGTGTTACAAGAGAGTAACAAACATAAAAAAGAAGGAGGTGAGATAAGGACGATAGATCTATGTTTGATAGGAAAGAAGAAGCAAACCACACTAGAGCACCCGCCAACCACCCACTCAGTGCAGTTTGTTTCAGTGGGTGGAGTCTCAAACCGAGCTCAATAATCTATTGAAGTCAATAGCTAGCAATGAAAATCATTAAGTCCATAACGCCCAGAACTTTTTAAAATCCCTGCCACGATACACGATATAAGTTTCTACCAAAATCTAAAAAAGACCAGCAGAGATGGTAAAAACAGCAATGGGTGTGAACAAAAAAAAGGTAGGGAGGGGGGGGGGAAATAAAGCACAGGTGCGTGGCTGAAAAACTTGACAGACAAAAAGTATAAAGTACAGGGAACTCAGCATACATTGTCTTGTACATATTGCGTCCACTATACCTCTTGCATCGACATGTAGATTTTACCGTGAGATCCAACTTTATAATTTCGCTGCTTGACAGGACATACGTCAAAAACATTCAATTGAAAAAGTCGTACAGTTTCAAAGCACTTCTCACGGTACACGGCACACAACAATATGAAAATGAAAGGCAAGTTAATGATCGTGTACTAGAAATAGGTAAAAGTTCAAGGGTCATGGTAGTAATTGACAAAATAAAATTTATAACACTTTAGTGACATTTTAAAAGATCTTCAAAGCCTTCAAAGCTAAGTTGTAGAGATGTTATTTAAGGAGAGTCAGTTGGACAGAAGGGCGAGAGCCCAGCTGTAGCTGGGTCGATAACAACAAGGAGAGTCTGTAAGATAACAGAAACTTTTCTCCTGGAATAGACAAAGACAATAACCACATGAAAAGAAGAAGAAAGTAGAGCAAAGCACATCAGAGTGCCCACCAACCTCCAGCAAAGTCAAAGTTTTCAGAGGGGAGGTTTTGAAGAAAAGCCCATGGGTATGTACATACATACTCACACTTCTATGAGACAAAAAAAAATAGGCTGAACCATAATGTGGGCTAGGCATTCAATTTGTTTTAGTAAGAGTTTTACGGCACTAGCAACACAATTAGGTCATATTAGTGCAAAAGATTAGATGTGTAATAAAAGAATTTTAGTTTTAGTAAGTGTTTTTTGGCACTTGCAAACAAAAGAATAACAAACACACATAAAAAGAAGGAGGAAAGATAAAGACAATAGATGTCTTTTTAGTTTTAGTAGAGGTTTTACGGTGCTCGCAACTGCATAATGTCTTATGAGCGGCAAGGGGTGGATGTCAACAGAGAAGTCCATACAGGGAATGAGGCTTACTCTGCTCACCTCTCTAGCTTCAACAGCACAAAGTCTGCTTCGACTATCAAGGCACCCCGGAAATAGCGGGACACAAGAGTGTGACAAACATACAAAAGAAGTAGAGGAAAAATGACGATAGTAAGGATTAGGAAAGAAAAAACAGCAGTTCCCTGTTGCAGTTCAGGCACAGTTATGTGCATGACATTGATGAATCAGCCCATTTACAATTCTACTGTGCATAAGAACATGTTAATGTCCCTCCTTTGGGAATGGCCTAACCTAACGACACTTCAGTCAGTAGCACCGCCCTGGGGGGTAAATAGATGTTTGATAGGAAAGAACCTACACACAGCTGTGTGTGACAAAGAGACAGCAGCAATCACAATCACGTGTGTTGTTTGACGTGTGATGTGTGATAGCCTATGCACAACTGTATGCAAACAAGGAATAATGCCGTCGTGTGATGTGTGATGTGTGATGTGTGATGTGTGATGTGTGACAGCCTATGCACTACTGTATGCAAACAAGAAATAATGCCGTCGTGTGAGATGTGAGACAACACACAGAAGTACACAACAAAGAGACAGGGTGCGGCACAAAGCAAAGCAAGTCACGAGATTGACTGACAGATTGTTTTAGTTTTAGTAAATGTTTTACGGCACTTGCAACACAATAAGGTCATATAAGTGCCGAAGATTAGAGCTGTTACAAGAAAGTAACAAACACAAAAAAAGAAGGAAGGGAGATAAAGATGACAGATGTTTGATAGGAAAGAAGAAGCAAACCACATCAGAGCACCCGCCAACCACCCACTGTGTGATGTGTGACAGCCTATGCACAACTGTATGCAAACAAGGAATAATGCCATTGTGTGATGTGAGACAAAGTAAACAACAAAGAGACAGGGTGCGGCACAAAGCAACGCTAGTCACGAGATTGACTGACAGATTGGGAAGGTGTTTTAAGCTTTAAGGCACCTATTGGCACAATTTTGGTCATGTAAGCGTCACGAGAGACAATTAATCGTTCAACAGAACACACAACAAGGTACAAAGAGCACACAAATGTTAGCCATGAGTCCATGCTAGATCATTCTATCATTCAACATGTGTTGAGTTTTTTTTTTCTCATTAAATATCTCAAACAAAATCAGCCTGAGGCTATGGTTCCTATACCAACAGCAAACAAAAGTCACAGTTAAGTATTCAGTGGTGGTAAAACCACTATTGTCAAAATGTCTTTAAATGGCCACCCTTTGTAGTGGGGCAAAAGTGGATGTCTTCGACAAGTGGATGTCTTGAACAGTGTTATTATTTTTGTTGTTGTTGTTGGTAAGTGTTTTACAGCGCTCGCAACTGCATAAGGTCATATGAACATGTGGGACACACCAAACATTTTCAGTTGGTAGGAAATTTTGAATTTGCGCGGCTGGCGGCCGAAGCCTACTTTTATTGACTTGGGCCACCAAGGGATCATTAACGTGTGCAACTTACACACGGGACCTCCGAGATTTTTCACCCTTGTTCGGGAAGGCTTACCTACCATAAGATCAGGGGTGTGACTGAAAGACAGCAGTGAGAAGTAAGAAGGAGCCCAGGAGAAGCAGTAGAAAGGCTGCAGAAAGAGTCAGGAGTCCAGAGGAGGGGGCAAAGGAGGTGAAGGGGAGGTGGCAAAAAGTGGAGACGAAAGCAGACAACAGAACATTGTTAGAGAGCAGGAAAGGATGTGAAAAGAGAACATTTTAGAAGAAAAGTTTCCCTCGCTATCCGGATTCGAACCTGGGACCTACTGAATGAGAAGGCGAACACCTTAACCTCTAAGCCACGAGAGCCGACACAGTGCTAGTATAATACTTTTTAAAATGCAAGGAGGGAAGTAGGAAGCAGTTGTTTGTACAGGTAATTGTCTAGGACGGATGGCCATTAGAACAGGATTGCCTGACTGCGTGTACCACATTTCTCCTCAGGGATAAATAAAAGTTATATTGGGGGGGGGGGGGGGGGGGGGGGGAGAGATTTTTTAAAGTGAAACCCAAAAGAAGTAATAATTTTTCAGCCTGAGAATTTGATTTCTTAATTGAAAGCTACGATCACCCCTTAAGTCTTCAGTAGCAATGAAGTACTGTATTATTTTATTAAGTATGTGTATGTGCTCATTTCGTAATGATGTGCAAGCGTGCGTGTGTGATAAGCAAGTAGATGTGTGTGAGTGTGTGTGTGTTTGTGTGTGTGTGTGCGTGTGTGTGCACACATGTGCATGTAATGTGTGCATGAGTGTGTGTGTGTGTGTGTGTGTGTGTGTGTGTGTGTGTGTGTGTGTGTGTGTGTGTGTGTGTGTGTGCGTGCGAGTGTGTGTAGCGTGTGTGAATATTGTTCATACACGCATTTACGAAAATGCGCCTAGAGCTGTGTTTACATGGGAGTGGGCGCTACAGAAATGATCTTCATTATTGTTTTATTATTAGTTTTTAGTTGTTTTTTTTAAGTTTTAGTAAGAGTTTATTAGTTAAAGTGCAACTATCTATCTTTTTAAAACAGGCAGAAGACACCTAGAGAGACCGCATAATAATAGGCTATTTGATTCTAAAACAAGGACAACAGACAAACGTTTCCACGTAGCCTGCCGACAATGACTCACATTTTCCGGGAATTTGTGGATGACATAGGGCTCGTAGCCACTGGAGTCCACCAGTGGTCGTAGCCCGACCACCAGACAGTACTCGAACAACTGGGGGTAGATGGCGCTCAGGTACTCCTTGCTGTGCTTGATGCTCTTGCTCTGCGGAGAGAGAGAGAGGGGGACAATAGAAAGAGATAATAGGGGAACTATTTTTTAGTTTTGAGTTTTGAATTTTGAGTAGCAAAAAGAGGCACATCGATGCAATAACAGTCATTTTAGTTTTAGAGAGTGTTTTACAGCACTTGCAACACAATAAGGTCATAAAAGTGCCGAAGATTAGAGGAGTCACAAGAGAGTAACAAACACAAAAAAGAAGGGGGGGGGGGAGATAAAGACAATAGTTGTTTGACAGGGAAAAAAGAAGCAAATCACACCAGAGCACCCACCAACCAACCACAAACAGTCATTTAGTGTCAAGAAAGATAACCAACAGACAGACAGACAGACAGATACTACAGAGGGAAAGAAAAAAAAAGGAAAATATACTAGTGGCACCCTCTAACTATCTGCAAAATGGAACTAGACCAGATGAAATACAGAATGGTGAATAAAACATTTTGCAACACACCTTGTATTTTCAACTAAAATTCAACGTCTTCAAATCCATCATGAATATGATAAGAAAACTGACCATGATAGCAATGATAACAGCAACACCATTTGTTTCTTTTCGCAACAGGCTGATGAGGAGAGTCTTAAAAAAATTCACAAAGAAACAATTGTTTTACAACAGGAGGAAGGCAAGAAAATATCCCTTTCAACACCACGTGTACTTTAACTATTTACCAACTAATGGTGAAAGGAAGCATAGCCACCGGCAGCCCGAATGACGCGCTGATAGGTTCTGATAGATCTACGACCTTGAAGAAAGTTTGCACAAAAGTCTGCTCGTGGTTTGTCAGGCTCCATCTACATGAGGTGACATCATGTTTTTTGTGGGATTTATCCTCATTTCAGAGAATGTATGAACCAGGCTAGCCAACTTTTGAGATACTGAATTCTGGAATTTTGATTGCGTCGGAGCGTCACAGACACACACTTCCGTGATAGGCTACTAAATCTACTTTTAAAAAACACCCACATCACAAAAACAGCTCAAACAAACCAGTGGAGAAACAGAGAGAGAGAGAGAGAGAGAAAGAGAGAGAGAGAGAGATGCCGTTTTGGGAAAGGTTCGGGAACGACGATGGCAATTCGGGAATTTCCCGAACAACAACTCGGGAAGGTTGGCAAGCCTGATGAACTGTGATCACCACTTACCGATTTGAGGCGCACGGACATACAATGCTCAACTCTCCTCTTCAGCTCCGACTGTTCCACTCCGGTCTCAGTGGATTCTGGGTAAACAGAGGATAGAAAACTTTGAGTAGTGATATCAAGTGCAAAGTGGTCATTCGACGAAACTCAAGATACTATATATATTAATTTATTCATGAGAAAAACCCATAAAGAAACACACTGAGTGAAAAGTTTTTTTCCCTTTACTGTTAACGAGACACATGGTTGTCATAAGTAATACAATAATGATGATAATAATAATAATAATGTGTCAATCTATCAATCTATTCATAAGAAAAACCCATAAAGAGACACACTGAGTGAAAAGTTGTTTCCCTTTACTGTTAACAAGACACATGGTTGTCAAAAGTAATATAATAAGATGATGACAATAAAAATAATAATATGTGTAACCTTTATGGCCACCGTGCTCCACCACCAGCCAGTCGTCTTCCTCTGCCATCAAGGCACTTCCGCGGACAGCAATGTCAAGGTCAGCGTATGCCTGGTTGATTTTTTGTTTCACCTGGGGAAGCAGAGCAACAAATATTCGTATGTGAGGACATATTCGAACAAAATGAGACCATTCAACAAATATTAGTATACGACATATTCGAACAAAATGAGACCATTCAACAAACATTAGTATACGACATATTCAAACAAAATGAGACCATTCAACAAATATTAGTATACGACATATTCAAACAAAATGAGACCATTCAACAAATATTAGTATACGACATATTCGAACAAAATGAGACCATTCAACAAATATTAGTATACGACATATTCAAACAAAATGAGACCATTCAAAAAATATTCGTATTCGACATATTCGAACAAAATGAGACCATTCAACAAATATTAGTATACGACATATTCGAACAAAATGAGACCATTCAACAAACATTAGTATACGACATATTCAAACAAAATGAGACCATTCAACAAATATTAGTATACGACATATTCGAACAAAATGAGACCATTCAACAAATATTAGTATACGACATATTCGAACAAAATGAGACCATTCAACAAATATTAGTATACGACATATTCAAACAAAATGAGACCATTCAACAAATATTAGTATACGAGTGAGTATTCAAAGTCAGCGCGACTGTTCGTGCAGAATGAAACTGCATCATCAGGTTGCAATAATTTTTTTACCTTCAGTGGAGTACACTCAAAGCCAAAATTTGTGGGAACACTGAATTTTCTTTGGCTTATTGTTTGTTTGTTTTAGTAGAGGTTTTAATAATAAAATAATAATAATAGATCATTTGTATAGCGCATATCCCCGCTCAACAGCAGGCTCTATGCGCTTTACACTATAGTATTACCCCAGCAGACCATAGAACACTCCGAAACATTCTCAGCTTCCTGGGAAGCACACAGTGCAAGCAGCCGATTAAGCGCTCAAACACTAACAAACGGACAAGATCTTTCGCTGTCTCTAGCCGGGTACCCATTCCCACCTGGGTGAAGTGAGGAAAATTCGTGTAAAGTGCCTTTCCCAAGGACACAACGTCGGGCCCTTGACGGGATTCGAACCCACGACCTTACGATTGCGAGTCCGAGAGCCTAACCACTAAGCCACCGACGCCACACGGTTTTACGGGCTTAAAGACACTTCAGTCAGTAGCACCACCCTGGGGGGGGGGGGTATCTTTGGCTTAGCCAGTTTTTCAGTTTACAGAGGTTGCTCAAATAGAAAAAGAAAAAAAAATTGAGGATGTTTCTTCTTTCGGTTTCATGCTGTTTTCTGATTAACCATGTTCCATTTAAGCAGACTTCACAAAAAATTATCAAAATAGTCTCCCCCCTGTGGCAATACACTTTTGTGTCAATTCCATCGAGCTCTGAGGACCCATTAGGTTGTCATTTTCATGTTTTAGTAGAGGTTTTACGGCACTCGCAACTGCATAAGGTCATATGAGCGCCAAGGGGTGGATGTCAACAGAAAAGTCCTTACAGGGAATCAGACTTACTCTGCTCACCTCTCTAGCTTCAACAGCACAAAGTCTGCTTTGACTATCAAGGCACCCCGGAAACAGCAGGTCACAAGAGGGTGACAAACATATAAAAGTAGTAGAGGGAAATGACGATAAAGTAAGAAATAGGAAAGAAAACGCAGCAGTTCCTTGTTGCAGTTCAGGCACAGTTATGAGCATGACATTGATGAATCAGCCCACTTACAATTACAATTCTACTGTGCATAAGAAATCGAGATGTTAATGCCCCCCCCCCCCCCTTTAGTCATTTTCAGGGAAACTCTTTTGACACTGATTTACTGCTGAGCCAAGGGCTGTTCTCATAATACGATGGCACCCTGAAAAAGATTGTTTTCTTCATGGATAAAGGAAAAAAGTCATATAGACCAATAGGTAGATGAGTAAGGTAGGTGATAGAGAATTTCGAGACCATTTTCTTCAAATTAAAAAAAAACCCCAGCCCACCTTGGTCTTGCTTGACCCGTAGGTGGACAGGGGCCGCTGACACCTCGATAACTTCAAATTATCCATACCGTATGCAAACTAATGAAATCAAGTTTAGTTTGAGAGATAAGGACAATAGATGTTTGATAGGAAAGAAGGAGCGAACCACACCAGAACACCCGCCAATCACCCATGGAACTAAGGAATTAAAGGCAAAAATGACAACAACAAAAGAAGAGAGAGAGAGAGAGAGAGAGAGAGAGGGGGGGGGGAGAGAGAGAGAGAGAGAGAGAGGGGAGAGAGAGAGAGAGAGAGAGAGAGAGAGAGAGAAGAGAAAGAGAGAGAGAGAGTGAGAGAGAGAGAGAGAGAGAGAGAGAGAGAGAGAGAGAGAGAGAGAGAGAGAGAGAGAGAGAGAGAGAGAGAGAGAGAGAGAGAGAGAGAGATCTGAAACATTGCCCCAAAACTCATCACAATAACTTATTATATATATAATGTTATCTCCTTCAAGCAATTTAAAAAACGCAACAAACTTGATGTCATAAACACTACCATTTTCTCACCGAGAGGGCTTTGCCTTTTCTTCACAAAGAAGGCCGGACACTTTTGTAACATTGTCCAAAATCCACCTTTCTGAACAGCACTGACCGTTGAAAATGTCGATTCTTAATGAATCAGTCCTTAGGCTCACAGGGGCAGAAATCAGTGTATGTATATATATATATATATATATATATATATATATATATATATATATATCACACTCTTTCACACTCTGTCTGTGTACTTTTTTAAAATCACAAATTGACAGTAATAATCAATAATAATAATAATAATAATAATAATAATAATAATAATAATAATAACAATAATTGCATTTATATAGCGCATATCCATGCCCAAGAGCATGCTCTATGCGCTTTACAGCTATTATTACCCCAGCAGACCCTCTGAGAACACTCAGAAACATTCTCAGCTTCCGAGGAAGCATACAGTGCAAGCTGCGGATTTCACGCGCTCAAACACTATCAAACTGACAAGATCTTTCACTGTCTATAGCTGGGTACCCATTCCCACCTAGGTGAAGTGAGGGAAATCTGTGCAAAGTGCCTTTCCCAAGGACACAACGTCGGGCCCCTGACGGGATTCGAACCAACGACCTTACGGTTGCGAGTCCGAGAGCCTAACCACTAGGCCACCGACGCCACATGGTTTTACGGGCTTAAAGACACTTCAGTCAGTAGCACCACCCTGGGGGGGGGGGGGGTATCTTTGGCTTAGCCAGTTTTTCAGTTTACAGAGGTTGCTCAAATAGAAGAAGAAGAAAAAATCGAAGATGTTTCTTCTTTCGGTTTCATGCTGTTTTCTGATTAACCATGTTCCATTTAAGCAGACTTCACAAAAAATTATCAAAATAGTCTCCCCCCTGTGGCAATACACTTTTGTGTCA